AAATGACCCTAACTGTGCTTCCAATTGGTCTATATTTTCTTATTTTTATTTATTTGTTTCTTTGGTGGCTGGCTGGTACAGGGATCAAACCCTGGACCTTGGTGTTATCAGCTCCATGCTCTAACCAACTGAGTTAACTGGCCAGCCCTTTTCTTATTTTTATATCATGAAATTTTTCACCAAATGCTTTGTCAAAATCTCAGGTGTACTATGTCTAGTAATGCTATTAAAGAAGAGAATGGAATAGTCTGGCATGATTGTTTTTATAAACCCATGTTGATTTAGTGGTTACTTCTTTTTCTAATTGTTTAGAAACCATCTTTTGGATAATTCATTCTAGAATCTTTTTTGGGGATCAGTACGAAGGTCCTTAACTTATGATTTGCAGATTCTACCACCTTTTCTCCTTATAAAAATAAAAATATCTTGGGCCGGCCCCGTGGCTCACTCGGGAGAGTGCGGCGCTGGTAGCACCGAGGCCGCAGGTTCGGATCCTATATAGAGATGGCCGGTGCACTCACTGGCTGAGCGTGGTGCAGACCACACTGTGCCGAGGGTTGTGATCCCCTTACCAGTCAAAAAAAAAAAAAAAGATTAAAAATAAAAATATTTTAGTTATCACTAGTTTTCTAGCAAGTTTCCCATTTTTACACGAACTCTCAGGTTTCTTTCAATGGTTTATTGGATTAATCTGCAAGTTTTATCAAAATCCTGGAGTGTAATTTGTTCAGGCCAGGAGCAATGGATTTATTTAGAGCAGTCAGGTGCTCTCTTTACAATGTTTTTTTTTTTTTCCTTTTTGTCTTTTTTCGTGTCCGGCAACGGATTGCAACCCTCAGTGTTGCGCCCGTACCGGACTGGGACCAGCAACGGGATCGCAACTCTTGGTGCTGCGCCCGCACCTCACTCAGCCAGTGAGCGGGAACCGGTCCGTATGTGGGATCCGAACCCTTGGCGGGAGCGCCGCCGCACTCCTAAGCGGCGCACTGTAGCAGTGCGCCACCGGGCCGGCCCCTACAATGTTTTTCTTCAATTTCCTCTTAGAATGTTTGTTTTACACTTTTTATTCTGAATATTATTCTTTTCAGTAGGGAAGACAGAAACATGTTATCCATTAACCATTACACTATGAATTCCAGCAATGGGACATTTCTTTCTTGCTTTTGTCCCTAACTTCATTTTTTTGGCAATAACTTTATTGAGGTATAATTCACATATATAGTTTGTCCTTTTAAAGTGTACAACTTGGGCCGAGCCTGTGGCACACTCGGGAGAGTGTGGCGCTGGGAGCGCAGCAGCACTCCCGCCGCGGGTTCGGATCCTATATAGGGATGACCGGTTCGCTCATCAGTGCTCACTGGCTGAGCGCGGTGTGGCCAGTCTCAAAAAGGACAAAAAAAAAAAAAAAGTGTACAACTTGATGGTTTTTTAGTATATTCACAGAGTTTTATATCCATCACCACTATCTAATTTTAGAACATTTTTGTCATCCCCAAAATACAAACACCATGCTCATTAGCAGCCACTCCCCAATTCTCCCCAAACTACCTCCCTAGTCCCAGGCAACCACTAATCTGCTTTCTAGTTCTATAGATTTACCTATTTTGAGCATTTGTATGAATGAAATCATACAATATGTAGTCTTTTGTGACTGGCTTCTTTCACTTAGCATAATGTTTTCAAGATTCATCCATGTTGTAATATATATCAGTGCTTCTTTCCTTCTAATTGCTGATTATATGGAGATACTGTATTATATTTATCCATTTACCTGTTGGTGGACATTTGGGTTATTTCAACTTTTTGTCTATTACAAATAATGCTGCTATGAACATTTGTGTCCAAGTTTTTATGTGATCATATGTTTTCATTTCTCTTGGGTATATACCTAAGGGCTGAGTCATGTGGTAACTATATATTTAACCTGTTGAGGAACTGCCAAACTGCACCATTTTACATTCCCATCAGAAGTGTAGGAGGCTTGCTATTTCTCCACATCTTCACCAACATTTACCACTGTCTATCTTTTTGATGATAGTCATCCTAGTGGGTATGAAGTGGTGTCTCATTGTGATTTTGATTTGTATTTCCCTGATGGCTAATGATGTTGAGCATCTTTTCATGTGCTTATTGGTCATTTGTGTATATAAATATATATATGTTATATATATTTTTATATATATATATATATATATTTTTTTTTTTTTTTTGAGAAACCTCTACTTAAAATCTTTGCCCATTTTTTGTTTAGGTTATTTGTCTTTTATTATTAGGTTGTAAGAATTCTTTATGTATTCTATATACAAGTCCCTTATCAGATACACGATTTACAAATATTTCCTCCAGTTTTGTAAAGTATCTTTTCACTTTCTTGATGGTATCCTTTGAAGCACAAAATATTTTCATTTTGGAAGAGACCAATTTATCTAATTTTTCTTTTGTTGCTTGTGATTTTAGTGTCATATGTAAGAAACCATTGCCTAATCTCTCAAAGATCTATGTTATTCCATTCAGCACTAAATATGTGCTCTCCTTTCTATGTCTGAGCTGATCAGAGAATTTCCTTGATGTAACATTAATTTATAAAATTCTTTCCCTATTATTCCACTAACCAGCACCCCGTGAAAATATTGTACTGGTTAAGAGTGAGAACTCTTGACTCAGACAGACCAGGTTTGAATGTTGGCATTACCAGTTGATAACCCTGTAACCTTAGGGAAGTGACTACTTTTAAAGCCTTGATTTCTTCATTTGCAACATGGGAATACCACTATTTCTTACCTTAAAGTTTGTGGTAATGACTAAAATACTTAGCATAGAGCCTTACACATAGAAAGCACTTGATAATTGGCAGCTATTATTACTGGAAATCTTCTATATTATTTTTAGAAAACTTTTTGCTTAGATAAAAATGTTTTTTTAGGCGAGTGTCTTTCTTGTCTTTATGTCCATTTGAGTAACTTGCTCATGGTGGGAATTTAATGAATATCTGTTAAGTTCAACTGATATGTAATATTAGTAACCCATTACATTAAGTGAGAGCTGGGATGTGTTTGAACTTGCTAAGGGCTTTTTACTAGAAAGAGGAAGAGAAAAAACTAAAAATAAATACCACGAACTTCATCATTTGAGCTTGGGTTAGCCCTGGTAAAAAAGGAAGACGGAAAGATTATGTTTCCAAAGATACTTCAAAGGGGAAAAGTGCTGAATACACAGAAGTCAGGGGATTAATTTAGAGGGAAAAACTGAAAAGTAAGTCCCCAAATGTTGGTAGGTTGCATAGACATTTTAAAATAGATGCCAAAGAGAAATTTCTCTGAGGTTGGTTATCCTATCAAGACTGATTTGGCATGGCTGTTCTCTGAGATTTGTTCTTGACTGAGACAAGATTCCTTTGTCCAAAAGCATTTTCTTATCACTTGGTGAGACTGTCATTAGTCTCCTTATACTTATTAGATAGACATATGAGTAGAGGCATCAAAACACTCCCCAAGACCTTATGCTGGGGACTTCTGATCCAGAAGTTTCCTAGTATTTTTATTTTTGTGTGTGTGATTAGAACCTACTTCCACTTAACAGTGCCTGGTCTTCCACTCCAAACTATAATCTTAACCTGATATGAACAAATGAGTCCTACATTTAAATTATTCTAGCCAAGGCCGGCCCGTGGCTCACTCGGTAGAGTGCGGTGCTGATAACACCAAGGCCACGGGTTCGGATCCTATATAGGGATGGCCGGTTTGCTCACTAGCTGAGCGTGGTGCTGACAACACCAAGCCAAGGGTTGAGATCCCCTTACCGGTCATCCTTTAAAAAAAAATAAAAAAATAAAAAAAATAAATAAATTATTCTAGCCATGCAAATGACGGCTGACAACACCAAGCCAAGGGTTGAGATCCCCTTACCGGTCATCCTTTAAAAAAAATAAAAAAATAAAAAAAATAAATAAATTATTCTAGCCATGCAAATGACATAATTTATGTTATCAGTAAATATTTATAGAGTATATGAAAGTAAGGCTAGATGAAGGATAAATGGTTACATAAATGAATGTTTTTCTTTCTGCTTTTCTTTCCCCCAGTCTTAACAAAGAGCCTTACACATAGCAAGCACTTGACAATAAGCAGCTGTCATTACTAGAAATCTTCTGTATTATTTTTAGAAACCTTTTTGCTTAAATAAAAATATTTTACTAGGTGAGTATTTTTCTTGGCTTTATATCCATTTGAGTAACTTGTTTGTCCAAATTTTAACAGTCCTTCCAAATCCTGTTTGAATGCCATTCTGTGAAGGTGTGTTATTGCTGTGTGCAGATCATTTGAGTTTTTGGTATCCAAGCCATTTTTCCTGCTATATTATGAGCTCCTGGAAGGCTAGATCTCTATCTTATTAATGTTTATATTTTTCATAACACACTGCTTTGCACGAAGTTGATATTTAAACAAATATATTAAATAAGTGTGTAATTTAATATATTTCTGGTGAAGATTTTGGGGTTCCAAATATTTAAGAATATGTTAGTATTAAATATGACAAACATTAATAACCTCTTCTCTTCTCAGCTTTTCACTGGCATTACTAAAACTTTACTGATTAAGTGAATATTCAACCTCTCCCATCACAGTCTTCTGTCTCTAAACAGGAACAAGTTTTAAGCAGATCTCCTCTCTTCTACCCCATTTCTTTCTCTCCCTTTTTTCTGTTCCATTTCTAATTTGTGGCTCTATTTATCTTTTCACTATGACTCATACTCTCTACTTTTTATTACTCCTGCCTCTTGCCCCTTCTTACAATTCCTAATGCTTCTTACAACTTTGTTTCCTTGTCACCTGCTCTTTCTATTTTTGTTCCTTCTGCTTAGCTTTCTCCTCCACTTGTCACCACCTCTTTCCTTGTCCTCAAGGTACAGAGCAGGATTAGGTAGGGAGGAGCCCGGCTGGGTTAGGGGTGGAGCCACCTGTGCTTTAGGATTCAGAATCTGACCGAGAAGGATCAGCTGCTTAAGAGTAGCTGGACTGGAAGTCTCTATGGCCTTCCCACTGGAGGCTGGCATTCTGGAGGACAGCTGGGACTCGGTAAGATCAGAAGCTGTCCTTCTTTTTTTGCTCCCCCTTTCTTCTTACCTGTTATGTATTTTCTACTCAGTATGTCTCTCCATACCACTAACTTTTCTTCTATTTCTCTATTGTTTACTATTCTGTTTTTTCTCTCTCTTTTCTAGCTGTCTGTTAGTGAACTCTGTTCGGTATTTGTTTGCCTTTCCTGTTACCCATTCTTTCCACACATCTGTTCTCTCTCAAAATTTAACTTTTCCTACCTCTTCTCCATTTTATTCTTCCCTTTATTAATTTCCTCATTCAACATTATTTTTTCATTCAGTCATTTTCTACCCACCTCTCTATTTTTATCTTACTGTTTCCCGGAGAAGTGGAAGTAAGAGAGGAAAAAAGGAGTCGCCGTGCCCTGCCCTTTCAGGGGCTTTTTCAACCTTCTCTCTCATTATCAGACTCCTAGTATGTTTTGATTAGACTTTGAAGAAGAATTTGTGCTGTACAGATAGTTAATAAACAGTGAAATTGGAGTTGGGTTGAATATTAAGTGTAAAAGGTTTAATTTTATTCTCTCTTCCTTGTGTTACTTAGGTTTTTTCTGCAATACAGTGGATACAATTTGTCATGGCTACTCTGAGGTATGTTTATTTAATCTCGTATAATATGACTGTCTAAACTAGGAAAAGAAAAACTGGAGAATTATGCAGTTTTTCCCCTGGGGATTTGCTTTTATTCTTTAGTTAGAAAGAAATGATATTCTTTACCATGTCAATATTTTCTGAATAATAAAATGTAATAACATCAACAACAATAGCAACAACAAAACAGATTGAGGAATAACATATGAAAATCAGTGGACAACCTGATCAGCAGGATTCACTGCAAAATCAATAGTTAAGTGCTCACTTCAGCAGGACATATTATAAAAATTGGGATGACACAGAGAAGATTGGCATAGTCCCTGTACAAGGATGACATGCAGGGACCGGCCTGTGGCTCACTCGGGAGAGTGCGGTGCTGATAACACCATGGCCACAGGTTCGGATCCCATATAGGGATGGCCAGTTTGCTCACTGGGTGAGTGTGGTGCTGACAACACCAAGTCAAGGGTTAAGATCCCCTTACCGGTCATCTTTTTTTAAAAAAAAAAAAAAGAGAGAGAGAGAGAGACAAGGATGACATGCAAATTTGTGAAGTGTTCCATATTTTTTAAAATTATGTGCAATTTATTTTATTTTATTTTATTTTTTTTATAGATGACCGGTAAGGGGATCTTAACCCTTGACTTGGTGTTGTCAGCACCACGCTCAGCCAGTGAGCGAACCGGCCATCCCTATATGGGATCCGAACCCGTGGCCTTGGTGTTATCAGCACCGCACTCTACCGAGTGAGCCACAGGCCGGCCCTGCAATTTATTTTACATGAATTGTGTCAAACTAAAGAAACAACAACAAAAATCAATAGCAAAATTTTTTTTGTTTTAATGATCATTTTCTATGTCTCTCAGTGTTATAGGTTCAAGTTCACTCATTGCCTATGCTGTATTCCAGAATATACAGAAATCTCCAGAGGTAAGCAATTTCTCTTTGTGTTGGATTTGAACTTTTAGTGACTTAGCCTTTGAAATAAATAACAGAGAGGTGTTACCTGTAATTCACAGAACAATTCTATGAATTAGATACTAGCAAATTTGTCATTATGATATAGTGAGGTATTTTAGGCACTGTCAACAGGGCTCCCTTTTCTTCTAGGTGATTATTTTAATTATAACTTTGAATTCTGAGAGATTAATTACTAAATGTCTATTTCGTTAGTATGTATTAATGATTAAGGTTAAGGAACAGAAAGTGTTGTCTGAAGCCTATATTCACTCTAAGCGTGTCAGGGTCTTGCCTGTAGGTGAGCTTTCTGATTTTGATACTTTCATAAAATTGTTAGTGAGGCTAGAAGATAGTTTAAAGACTTCGCCATATGAAAGATACTTGTTTTGTTGCTCTGGCCTTCAAAGCAATTACAATTAATGGTGAAAACAGAATATAGCTACGAGGGGTCATCAAAAAGTTCATGGAAAGTTTTGTATTATCTTTTAATTCCATTTTTCCACAAACTTTCTGAAATACCTCATACATCCTTTGTTAAACTATTCATACCAAAAATATCAAGGTAAAAACCGTCCTAATTTATCGAGCACTAGGGAGAGTGATATATTTGCTAGCTCAGTAAAGATTTTTAGAGAAATGTAACAACAGTTTCTCTAATCAGCCAAATGGCACAAAATTAGGCAAAATATACTTCAGGACATGTATGTGGGAAAGCTTTTGTATGTAGAAAATGCCACTGGATTTTATTGGACCCACTTCATTATTTATTTATCATATCTTATCTTATCTTATCTATTTATTTATTTATTTTATTTTGGTGGCTGGTTTGGTACAGGGATCAAACCCAGGACCTTGGTATTATCAGCTGTAACTAACTGAGCTAACCGGCCAGCCCTAGACCCACTTTAATAATAAAAAAAATAGCTTCTGTGTGTAGAGCACTTACTATGTTCCAACAATGCTGAGTGTTTTACATACTTTATCTCATTAAGTATCTTCTCTCTTATGAGAAGAATGGTATAGGCCCATTTCACAGATGCGGAAATTGAGACTCAGAGTAGGAAATAACTTGTTCAAGTTACATGGTAAGTAGCAGAACAGGGATTTTCAAAAATCTATACTCTTAACTACAACCCCCTCCAAATTAAACAAAATTTTTACTATTTATTCTAGACATGTGCTTAGTGCTTTAAATACATTTTTCATTTAATCCTTAAAATAACATTGAAGTAGATATTATCAGTTTGATGTTGTAGACAAAGAAATGGAATCCTAATAAGAGTGAGGGACTTTCCTAAGGTCTTAAAGCTAGTAAGTGTTAGAATTAGAATTTGAGTGCATACTACTTTATTCCAAAGCCTCTCCCCACATATGCTTTTTAAACCTCTGAAATATACTGCCTAATGAAAAGAGAATTTTGAAGTTTGAGGTGGAATGTGACTACATAAGTAAAACTCAAAAGTAGAAGTCTTGATGCTGTATCATCATTGCCTGTTAAAGTAATATTAGGCCAAACATCTTCCTTTGATTCAGATCTCCAACTTCAGCACTATTGAACTTTTGAGCTAGATAATTATTTTTGTAGGGGTTGTCCTGCACATTTCACAGGCTTTGTCCATTAAATTCTAATAGCAAAACCTCCCCTCTGCAGTTTTGACAACCAAATATATCTTCAAACATTGCCAAATGTCGCTGAGTTGGAGGAAGGGAGGCAGGTGTACAAAATCATTCCTGATTGAAAACCACTGCTCTAAGGTGACTCGATAGCATGAGAGTGGGTTAGGGCTTCATAAAGATGTAGGGTCTACTTTGAGTTAGATGTGATCTTTAGTTTCTCTGGCTTCAGTTCTCACATGTTTCACATGACCAGAGCCTAGAGGATCTTAGCAATCACTCAGTTAAGTGGTTCCTACACATTCTATTTTCTTGACTGAGGAAAGATTCCAATTTTTCCAGGTTAAAAATATCAGCTGTACTCTACTGTTTTCCTTTTATTTCTTCATCAAAGAACATGTTTTGGTTGGTTGTTTTTGGCGGCTGGCAGGTAACCAGGATTGGACTCTGGTCCACAGTGGTTATCATATCACATTCTTTTTTTTTTTAAAAAGATGACGGGTAAGGGCCGGCCCGGTGGCGCACTCGGTAGAGTGCGGCGCTTGGGAGTGTGGAGGCGCTCCCGCCGAGGGTTCAGATCCCATATAGAGACCGGTCCACTCACTGGTTGAGCACAGTGCGGGCGCGGCACCGAGGGTTGCGATCCCGTTGCCGGTTGCGGTACAGGCGCAACACCGAGGGTTGCGATCCCGTTGCCGGTTGCGGTATGGGCGCAACACCGAGGGTTGCGATCCCGTTACCGGTCACGAGAAAAAGACAAAAAGGAAAAAAAAAAAAAGATGACTGGTAAGGGGATCTTAACCCTTGACTTGGTGTTGTCAGCACCATGCTCACCCAGTGAGCAAACCGGCCATCCCTATATGGGATCCGAACCTGTGGCCTTGGTGTTATTAGCACCGCACTCTCCCGAGTGAGCCACGGGCCGGCCCTATCATATCACATTCTAAACAACTGAGCTAACGAGCCAACCCTCGAAAAAAAAAAAATATTAACAGCAGAAATACAGGGAAGGTTATTATCTGAAAATGACAAAAATGACCTATTAAAAATAATGATAGTAAATTTGAGAAATCTGTGGGAAATATTTTATAGGTCTAGTTGGTTAGACAGTGATGCAGAGAGTCAATATGAAGGGAGAAGAAAGTGGCCAGGCCAGCCAATGTTAAAAAAAATTGAGGCAGATGTACTTCATTGCACTTGTGTGACTTCATTTTCCCATGCAGATAACTTTTGATATTCTTTGTGACTTGATTTCACTTAAATAGAAATATTAAGAAGCAGTATTTTAGAAGACTGCTAATATGACTTGTTTTAGGTCTTTCACTTCACCAGGATAGACCTGGACCCAGAACTTCCCTAGGGAAAACTCATACTGTTTATACAGTGTTTATTCCACCTTATTCTGCATGGAAGCAAAATTTCTTTGTATTTCCTTCAACATAGTTATTGATAAGTTATAAACTTGTGATAGGTCATAGTAAAATATATAAATGTCCCATCTGGCTGGAATTTTAGCAGGCTTACCCAGATTAAAAGCTATATATGGTTAAAATAATAATATCTGATATTTATTAAATACTTTACACTTTAAATTGTGTTTGTTATACATTATTTCACTCATTTATGTTTGTTAGCCAAGGCAACTTGACCATATTAGCAAGGTATGAGCATCTTAACTTTCCTCTTGTTTGGAGGAAAGATAGGAGAAAAATTCCCATTTGTACAGGAGGGGAGATTAGTTTTATATTAGGTAGTATCTGATGAGGACTTAAAAATTTTTAAATGTATTTTTATTGTAATTTATATCAGATATGAACTACAATGCATGAAACATGTATGTACTGTTTAAAGAACGATTATAAACAAACACTAGTGACAAGAAATAGAACATTTTGCACCCCCAGATATACCTATTGCAGTTCTTCCTAATTGCAACTCTCTACCGCACCTGTAGGGGTAACCATTATCTAGATTTTTGTGATAAACATTTTTTTTTTGCTTTTACATACAGTTTACTAGTAATGTACTAGTATGTACCTCTAAATGATTTAGTTTTGCTTGTTTTTGAACTTGACACAAATGGAATGATACTATATGTATTTTTGGTATTTATTGTTTTGTGACTTGCTTATATTCCTCAATATTATTGATATTTTACCATGTTGTGTATAGCTCTAGTTTATTTCATTTTCATTGATGTTTAGCATTCTATAGTATGAATATACCACAATTTATTTACTTATCTATGCTGGTATAAGTACTCATTTTTTAATTCGAAATATTTCAACACATACATATTTGTAGGGTATAATATATTGTTTCAGTATATTGCTGTAAACATTCTTGTACATGTCTTGTAGTGCACAAATGCTTGAATATATCTAGTGTGTTTACCTATCAGAATTTTCATAGGATTTGTACATCTTCTAGATAAATGCCAAACTCTTTCCAGATGATTTCACCAGAAGTTTATGAAATGTCCCATTGTTTTGTGTTCCCGTTAGTATTTGATATTGTCAGACTTTTAAAATTTTTGCAATGGGTGTGTAATTTTTTTCTTATTATGGTTTTAATTTTAATTCCCTTGGTTACTAATGAAGTCAGGCATATTTTCATATGGCTATGGCCATTTAGATTTCCTCTTTTGTTCTGTTTTTTTTGGCTGCTGGCCAGTACAGAGAACTAAACCCTTGACCTCAGTGTTACAAGGCTGAGCTCTAACCAACGGAGCTAACCAGCCAGCCCCTTGTTAAGTTCTTTTGCCCGTTTTTCTGTAGGGTTTCCTTATTGCTTTTTAATTTTTTTTTTAAATATAGGTTGGATACTGGTCCTTTGTCAGTTATATGTGTTAAAAATATCTTCTCTGCATTTGTGACATGTCCTTTCACTTTCTTTTTTTTTTTTTTTTTTCCTTTTTGTCTTTTTTCATGACCGGCAACGGATCGCAACCCTCAGTGTCGCGCCCGTACCGGACCGGGACCGGCCATGGGATCGCAACCCTCGGTGTTGCTCCCGCCCCTCGCTCAGCCAGTGAGCGGCCGGTCTGTATGTGGGATCCGAACCCTCGGCGGGAGCGCCACCGCGCTTCCCAAGCGGCGCACTATAGCAGTGCACCACCGGGCCGGCCTCTTTCACTTTCTTTATGTTGTTTTTTACAGACTGTTTTTGGTTTTGGGTTTTTTTTTTTTCATTTTAATGTGGGTGAATGTTTCCATTATTTCTTTTAGAGCTTTGTGTGTTTTGTTTAGGGAAACTTTTCCTAGCAAGAAGTTGGAGACTCCTGTATTACCTAAAAAAGGCTTCTAGATTTTGCCTTTTACATTTAGGTCTTTAAACCACCTGGAACTGAATTTTGAGGGTAGTATGAAGTATAAAGTAGGGATCCAATTTCATTTTTTTCCCATATGGATAGCATCATATTTTGAAAAGATTACCCTTTTTCCACCAATTGAAAAAGCCATCTTTATCATATATCAAAGGTCTGTATATATTCTTGGGTTCATTTTGGGCTCTCTATTCCATTTTATTCATCTGTTTGCCCATCTTTGTGTTAGTACCACAGTATATGTACTCTAGCTTTATATTAAATCTCAAGATGTGGCAGGGCAAGTTCTCCTCCTTTTTCTTCAAGAGTGTCTTAATTATCTTTATATTTTGTATTTCTACATCAGATTTAGAGTCAGCTTGTCAAGTTTACAGAAAAATCAGTTGTGATTTAATTAAGATTGCATTTAATCTATAGATCAATTTAGGGAGAACTGACATTTTGATAATATTGCATCTTACAATCCATGAGCATGACATATTTATTTACTGATCTTTTTTAGTGTCTCTCAATGAGCACTTTATGATTTTCTTCATAGAAGGACCAAAAATGTTTTTAGATAAGCAGGAATGGGGAGACCAAAAGGAGAAGGATACTAGAAAGTAAGAGGACAGACTTCACCAACATGTCCAAAAATTGAAAGGCAACATATGTAATTCATACTAATGATTTTCCTCACCCCGACTTTTTGTTATTGTTGTAAAAACCTGTTTTTATTTTCTTCAAGCCCTTGACTGCATCCCTAAATACTCAGCAGATAATCTCATTTCCTATTTTAGAAGATGTTGGCTGTGCAACTAGAGTACTCTCAATTGTCTGTTTGTGGTGTGTCTCCACCACAAAATTTCTCATCTGTCATTTGACCCTATATCTGAGAAAGGAGTGTCCCTATGAGTAAGAAGATCCAGTGCTAATCCATCCGTCCGTACTCTGATTCCAGGAAAGTTGGGATAGCTGTGATTACAGATTCCTTCCTATCTGGAGTTTTCCTTTACATTCCCCACAGTCAACTAATGGCAGAGGCCTTGGAAAAATGATGCCCAATTTTCAACTAGAAACATAAAATGTAAAAATAATCGATTGGTGTATTCTCCTAGCTATATCACTTATGAAATGAATATTTTGTTGCTTTGACAGATAAGGCCACTCTTTTATCTGAGCTTCTGTGACCTGCTTCTGGGAATTTGCTGGCTCACTGAGGCACTTCTCTATGGAACTTCAGCAGCCAGTAAGGACATCATCTGCTATAACCTGCAAGCAGTTGGACAGGTAAGTGCTACTAGACTGTGACTGCACCTTGCAAGAAAGGCACACTCAGATCTAAAGAGAAAGCAAAATGATACATCCTGAGAAGTGGAGACCCATTTGTTTATTGTTACACTTTGAAATAATAGGTTTTATCATTTTTCATATTAAAAAACACTACTTATTATAGAAAATTTGGAAAATTCAGAGAAGCAAAACGACAATTAAAATCACCCACACATAATTACTTTTTAATATTTTATATATATTATAATTCTTCCAATCTTTCTATGTGAGTGTATATTTTAAAACAAACAAAATAATACATAAACACTTTTTATAATCTGCTTTTATTATTCAATATATTGTGACCATATTTCTATGTAATGAAACATTCTTCTACAACATCTTTTGAAATGACTGCATGGTTTTGTATTATAGGAATCAAATAAACACTGGGTTTTGAAAATACTACAGACAATTATAATGGATTATATACCTTTCATGAATTTTGTCAATGGATTAACTCACATAGTATCATCAGTATATAATGCTTCTTCTCTATTTATGAGACTTTCAAAATGAGAAAAGTAGAGGTTAAAATGCAGTCTATGCTTACTGCTGGATATTTCCTCTGGAATTTGTTACTAGAGGGGAATTTTTTTTTCAATTTAGTAGGAAAGTAATAACATGTAATTTGTGATATAAAATCTATGCACTAATAGGTTATCTATCTCATAAGTTTAATATGTCTTTGTGACATACTTTGTTCAACCCTTCTGACAGCCTCATAAATTAAATAGAGTAAAGGATGTGTGCTTTCTCAGATAAGGAAATAATACTATAGTTTTTGAAATAAAAATAATCTGCATAAGAATCCTGGACCTGATTAACTTTGTGATGTTGGGCAAGTACTTAATCTTTCTGAATGTCAATCTTCTAATTATAAAATGGCCACTGATAACATTTACTTATGCTTGGTACAAATGTGAATAATATTATTTTGTTTTTTACATCTTTATTGATATATAATGTTACTTTGTTTTTTACATCTTTATTGATATATAATGTTACTTTGTTTTTTACATCTACAATAAACTACATATATTTAAGGTGTACAATTTGATCTGTTTTGACATATGTATACTCCCAGGAAATCATCACCACAAATCAAGATAACAAAAAATTCCTATTTCCATCACCCCCTAAAATCATTTCAGATGTGTTTGCCTTTACCTCATGGAGTGTATGTATTACAATAGCTACTTTTAAAAATATTTTTTGGATATTTCCAATATCTGGCTCATTTCTAGGCTAGTGTCTATTGATTGTTTTTTCCCATGAGAATGGGTCACATTTTCCTGGTCTTTGTATGTCAATTAATTAAGGGTTGTGTCTTAGATGTTGTGAATACTATGTTGCATAGACTCTGGGTCCTTTTATAACTTTTTGGAGATTGCTAATGCTTTTGTTTAGCAGGCAATCAACCTGATTAGGATTAGAATATAAATTTTGTCTCATCATCTGTGGGCAGTGGTTCAAATCTCAGTCTGATTCTCTAATCCTTGGCTATGCTGATTTGGGATTGTCGTGCATATGCATGGTAGAGAAGTTAGGCTGAGACTTGTATGGATCATACAGGAATTAAGGCAACCCCTTTCCTGGCTCTCTCACTTCTGGGATTCCCTGCATACTTGCCTGCTGAAAGGGGGTCCTTTTCTGATTTCTGTGGCCTGAAGATACATTTCTATCAGAGTTTTAGATGCCTTTATTGAGCAGCATCATGAGAGATGCTTGAGAGATGCTTGGGTACATGCTTGAGAGAGAAGGGGCAAAAAACTTCGGGAAACAATTCTGTGCAGTTCATTTTGACTCCCTTCCACAATCCACCTGTTTTTGTTTACTTTTCAGAGTCCTCAAGTAGTTTTTTATATTTTTCCCAGTGTTCTTGTTTGTAATCAACAGGAGGGTGGGCTGGAGAGGGATTAAACACACTAACTTATTTTGTTTCTTTGTTTTATTCTTAAAAATTGTGGTAAAATATTCATAACATAAAATTTACCATTTTAACCACTTAATTTTAATTGTGTTAAAAATACATTACATAAGACTTACAATCTTCACCATTTTTAGGTGTACTGTTCATTAGCACTGAACATTCATTGTTGCGCAACCATCACCATTATTCATCTCCAGAACTTTTTCATCATCCCAAACTGAAACTCTGTACCCATTAAACAATAACTTCCCATTACCCCCCTACTCCCAGCCCCTGATAACGACTGTTCTACTTTTGTCTCTATGAATTTGACTACTATAGGTACCTCATATTAGTGGAATTATATAATATTTGTCCTATTGTGTCTGGTTTATTTCACTTAACATAACGTCTTTATGGTTCATCCATGTTGTACCATATGTCAGAATTGCATTCCTTTTCATGTCTGAATTACATTTTATTGTATGCACATACCAGATTTTGTTTATCCATTCAAGTGTCAATGGATACTTGGGATGCTTCCATTTTTTGTATATTGCGACTAACGCTGTTATAAATATTGATGTTCAAATATCTGTTTGAGCCCCTGTTTTCAATTCTTTTGTGTATATACACAGACGTGGAATTACTGGATCACATGGGAATTCTGTTCAATTTTTCAAGGAACCACCATACTGTTTTCTTTTCTTTTTTTTTTTTTTTAAAAGATGACCGGTAAGGGGATCTTAACCCTTGACTTGGTGTAGTCAGCACCATGCTCAGCCAGTGAGCGAACCGGCCATCCCTATGTGGGATCCGAACCCGGGGCCTTGGTGTTATCAGCACCGCACTCTCCCGAGTGAGCCACAGGCCGGCCCACCATACTGTTTTCTATAGCAGCTACATCATTTTAAATTTCTATCAGCAATGCATAGGTTTGCAGTTTCTCTACATCCATACCAATGCTTGTTGATTTCTTTTCTTGTTTTTTTTTTTTTTTATAGTAGCCATCCTAATGGATGTAAAGTGGTATTTCGTTACAGTTTCAATTTGCATTTCCCTTACGATTAGTGCTGTTGAGCATCTTGTGCTTATTGGCCATTTGTGTATCTTCTTTGAAATGTCTGTTCAAGTCTTTGGCCATTTTTAAATCAGGCTGTTTTTTGTTGTTGAGCTGTAGGAATTCTTCATATAGTCTGTATATTAACCCCTTATCAGACATACAATTTGCAAATATTTTCTCCCATTCCATAGGTTGCTTTTTCAATCTGTTGATTGTGTCCTTTGTTGCACAGAAGCTTTTAAAACTTTGATGTAGTCCAATTTCCCTGTTTTTTCTTTTGTTGCTTGTGGTGTTGATGTCTTATCCAAGAAATTATTGCCACATCCAATGTCATGAAGCTTTTATTCCATGTTTTCTTTTAAGAGTTTTCTAGTTTTAGGTCTTTGATCTATTTTGAGTTAATTTTTGTATATAATGTAAGGTCAGGGTCCAGCTTCATTCTTTTGCATGTGGATATCAAGTTTCCCCAGTACTATCTGTTGAAAAGAGTGTCCTTTCTCCATTTAATGGTTTTGGCACCCTTGTTGAAAACATATGACCATATACAAGGGTACTTAAAAAAATTCATTGAAAAATTGAATTAAAGGGCCAGCCTGTGGCTCACTCGGGAGAGTGTGGTGCTGATAAAACCAAGGCCATGGGCTCGGATCCCATATAGGGATGGCCGGTTGCTCACTGGGTGAGCACGGTGTTGACAACACCAAGTCAAGGGTTAAGATCCCCTTACCGATCATCTTTAAAAAAAAAAAGAAAGAAAAATTGAATTAAAGATAATACAAATTTTTACATAAACTTTTTGAAGACTGCTTTTATGTGAGGGTTCATTTCTGGGCTCTCTATCCTGATCCATTAGGTCTATATTTCTATCTTTATGCCAATACCTCACTGTTTTGATTGCTATTGCTTTGTAGTAAGTTTTGAAACCAAGAAGTGTGAGTCCTCCAAGTTTGTTCTTTTTTTTCAAGATTGTTTTGGCTATTTGGGACCCCTTGAGATTCCATATGAATTTTACTATGGAGTTTTCTATTTCTGCAAAACAAATGTTTTGGGGATTTTGATAGGGATTGCACTGAATCCATAGGTCACTTAGGGTAGTATTGATATCTTGATAATAGTAAGTCTTCCAGTCCATGAACATGGTTGTCTTTGCATTTATTGGTGTCTTCTTCAATTTCTTTTAGCAATGTTTTGCAGTTTTCAGTGTACAAGTCTTTTGACTGCTTGGTCAGGTTTATTCCTAAGTATTCTTTTTAATGATATCATAAATGGAATTACTTTTTTAATTTCTTTTTTGGATGGTTCAGTGTTAGTATATAGAAATGCAACTGATTTTTGAGTGTTGATTTTGTATCTGGCTACTTTGCTGAATAATTTATTAGTTCTAACAGTTTTTCGTGTGTGTGTAATATTTAGGGTTTTCTACATATAAGATCATGTCATCTGTGAACAGATAATTTTATGTCTTCTTTTCCAGTTTGGTTATCTTTTGTTTTTTCTTCTTGTCTAATATTCTAGCTAGGACTTCTAGTGCTATGTTGAGTAGAAGTGGCAAAAGCAGGCATCCTTGCCTCATTCCTTAACTTAGAAGAAAAGCTTTTAGTTTTTCACCATTGAGTATGATGTTATCTGTGGGCTTTTCATATATGGCCTTTATTATGTTGTGGTAGTTTCCTTCCATTTATAGTTTTTTAAAAATTTTTGTCATAGGGCCGGCCCAGTGGCGCACTGCTACAGTGCGCCGCTTGGGAGCGTGGTGGCGCTCCCGCCGAGGGTTCGGATCCCACATACAGACCGGCCGCTCACTGGCTGAGCGAGGTGCGGGCGCAGCGCCGAGGGTTGCGATCCCGTTGCCAGTCATGAAAAAAGACAAAAAAAAGGAAAAAAAAAAAATTTTTGTCATAAAACGGTGTTGAATTTTGTCAAATGCTTTTTCTGCATTAATTGAGATGATCACGTAGTTTTTTCCCCTTCTGTTAATGTGGT